CATAATGTGAAAATGAGCCGTAGTTGTTCTGTACCTAGATTATCATATGGTCTATATTTTCGACAATTGCGGTTCCATCGACAGCCATTTTGAATAACCCTGCGGTCTCTTTAACTTGCGGTCACGTGACATGTGGAATATATTGAATAGGATTCGTCAAGAGTAAACGTGACAGCAGTAAAATTAAAGTCGCATGATTTAAGACTGACGAAGGAAAATATTCAGATGGCAAATATATAAAAAAACAGGAAATGGAGAGTGTTCCAGAAAATTGCATTAATGCGCCATCTTCTTTAACTATAATTGCAGTTAATGTGCAACTTCCCCCGCTCTATTTATGTTGTAAATGAAAATGATGATCACACGAAATACTTATGAAATGAATTTACAGGAGATGCCACTGCTCCTTGACTAAAATGGAGCCAAATTTTTTACAGTTTGATTTTAGCAAATTGTTCGGGTTATATCCTGTGCAATCAAAGTAACCTTTATAAATATTACTCGTTATTATATAAGCTCTTTCAAGCAGGAAAATCGATATAAAGAGATCGCAAACTGCATTTTGCATAAATTATAAGTGACATTAAAGAATTTATTAAAATGAATTGTCGGACTCTGTATAATTTAAACGTTCGGTTGGATACGAAAGGTCCTTTGAAAAAAGTCGTCACAGTTATACAAAATGCACCAAATTGAAATAATTATTTCATGATAGTATATATAATTTAGAGATAATTACGACAGCGTCATGAACATGGGAGTGGCAGCGAATTTTTCTAATTTTGAAAGGTGGAACGCTTTGCCCTCTGCCATTTCTGTCACTGGAATTACTTTTCTATTCATATCAATTTTGTTGCTCTGTATAAATCAACGTTTATCTTGAACGCAGAGGACACAGGAATGAAATCGGTAGTAAATTAAGAAATAAAAGTGGAAACTCTCTCTATTTCCCAACCTGAAATAAAGGAAATCCCTCCATCTTTCATTTCAATATTGCTACTCCGTATAAATAAAGAATGAGATCTCGTCCGCAATCCAAGTACGATTTCCTCCTTAAAATGCTCGGCCACTGAAACAGCCAACTCAGCCTCAGAAGCAAGCCCAGAACCCGGGAGGAAGGCTGAAAGCGACACGGGACGCGCTGATGGCGTGGGAAAGGCTCATCCAAATTTTGCTGTCAGGTTAAGCGCTACGTCTCGCAGGGGGGGGGGGGGGGGGAGGGCGAGGGAAGAAAGAGGGAGGAGGTGGAAAGGGGATGGGAGGATGAGGATGAGATAAGGGTATGAAAGAAGAAGAAGAAGAAGAGGAAGAGAAAAGGAGAAGGAGAAAAGAAAACGAAGAAGGGGAGGAAGTGGTGGGGGAAGGGGGGAAGAAAAACAGGAGAAGTGAAAGAGCGGAGGGGAGAAGGAAGAATGTAACGAGATGAGATGGAGAAGGGAAGGGAAAAATAAGAAAGGAGTGAGAGAGAGGAGGAATGACAGCGCTTTAAGGTACGGCATCGGTCTTTAAGGTCGACATTGCCTCAGGAAGGAGAGGGAGGAGGGCCGTCACTCCAGCCTGCGAGCGGCGGCTTGTCTCGAGAGCAGTTGGGGCGCCGTTTGTGTGCCGGGGGGGGGGTCGCGTGTGATGTGCGTTGCTTGTGTTGTATGTGTGAGAGAGAAAAAAAATAAAACACAGAAAACACAGCACAGATTGAATGAACGAAAATGAAGGAACGAAAGAGTGAGTGTGCATATATGTATATATATACTCGTATATACGTATATATATACATATACATATACATATACATACATACATAATATACATATATATATATATATATTATATATATATATATATATATATTAATATGTATATATATATATATATATAATATATATAAATATATATAATATATATATATATATATATTATATATATATATATATATATATATATATATATATATATGTGTGTGTGTGTGTGTGTGTGTGTGTGTGTGTGTGTGTGTGTGTGTGTGTGTGAGAGAGAGAGAGAGAGAGAGAGAGAGAGAGAGAGAGAGAGAGAGAGAGAGAGAGAGAGAGAGAGAAGAGAGAGAGAGAGAGAGAGAGAGAGAGAGAGAGAGAGAGAGAGAGAGAGAGAGAGAGAGAGAGAGAGAGAGAGAGAGAGAGAGAGAGAGAGAGAGAGAGAGAGAGAGAGAGAGAGAGAGAGAGAGAGAGAGAGAGAGAGAGAGAGAGAGAGAGAGAGAGAGAGAGAAATCTACTCATGCGCCTCCCAGTCCGCATGTCCTTCTGCCTTCGCCGCTCAAGACCTCGGCGCCGAACTGGGATGATCCGCGCAGACATCTCGTGACTAAGGTGCCTGTTATTTCAGCTCGTTGCCGAGTCAGCTCTGAGGTGTTGCTTGCTGTTTATTGCTGTTGTTTCAGGCGAAAGGAAATGTTAACTGATCAGGGGAAACACGAAGAGCTAAATGGGGAAATGGCTAGAGGGTGAAAGTGATTAAGACGGAGTGGGAG